CGGGTCCCAGGGCGGCGAGGGGGTTGGGCCAGAGCCCCGGACTCACTCCGGCCCCGCCGGGTCCCCAGGCTACCCCAGTGAGGCGGCGGCGGAGGTGGTGTTGGCTGCGCTGCGCGAGTGGCTGGAGCAACACAAGGACAAGGTGAGTCCTGGGCCCAGTCAAGGGGATCAGACGGGGGCGCGGCGGGGAGGGGGCGCCGCACCCCGGCTCCGCTGACCAGCCCTCGATGCATCCCCTCCCCTTCCCTTCCCTCGGGACCGGTTTACTCTCCTGAGCCCAGGGCGGTGGGGTGCACACCGTGAAGCCCTTCTGTGAGGGTCTGTGGGCCCCTCCAGAGCAAGGCAGGTGAAAACCTGCAGCGGTGGGGGCAGCGATAAGACCACACAGCCAGGGTGGGGGCGGCCCCCCGCCCAGGCTGAGCAGACCCTGGCGCAGGTGGACCGGCTCATCATCTGTGTGTTCCTGGAGAAGGATGAAAGCATCTACCTGCAGCGGCTCCCCCACTACTTCCCAGTGGGTGAGCACCCCCCCCACCCCCCGCGCTGAGTCGGCCCCTGCCCCTCCCCCACCTGCCCCAGGGTAGGCTCTCACTGTCCTCTGCCTTCCAGCCTGACGGCACCCGCCGCCCACCCTGCCCAGGACTGGTAAGCAGGGCCTGGCCCGCCATGTGGCTGCCCACTAACCCGCCCACTAACACACGGGCTCACCTCCCCGCCCCCGCTCACCCCCACGCAGGAAACCCAAGAGGGCAGCCTGGGCGGCTGGGGGAAGCCCAGGGCCCACACTCCCTGACCGTTCTGCTCTGCCCACAGACTCGCCTGGGCCTACTGGACCTCGCTCCCAGCTCTAGGAGGTCCCCGAAGCCTGCAGCTGGGCCTGGGCCCCCAGTTCTTTCCCTCAGCCCCCCAGGAGCCTCCTAATAAAGACCACCCTTGCTGCAGCGGCTAGTCCGAGTGCTGGCTGGGGAAGGAGGCGCAGCCCTGAGGCGCGGACAGGTGCCTTCAGCTTCAAGGGGCTGGCGAGCGCGCTTGGTGGCGGGGCAGGCGGAGGCACGGGCCAGACGGCAGAGGTGGGCAGCAGCACGTCACATTTATTGAGGGCCTGCCCCCAAGGAGCTCACAGCCTGGGGGCCAAGACCCCACATGTGCTGGGGGAGGGGGAAGAGGTAAAGGCAAAAAGGAAGGCAATGCAGAGAGTGTGGCCCGAGCAAAGGGGGTGCAAAGCAGGCAGGGGGAGGGCTGGGGGAGGAACGGCAGCCTGGCAAAGCCCTGCCTAGACCTGGGGTACCATGGACCAAGCACCGGCTTGAAGGCCGCCCCTCCCCAGCCAGGTTGGTGCCACCCCAGCTCCTCCCCCTGCCCTGAGCCAGGTCCCCCAATGTCAGCTCTCTCCACCCAGGACTGGACCATGCAGAGCCCTGATGGGAGGGCAGGCAGCTCAGGTCTGGGGGCCCTGACCAGGACAGCAAGGTGGAGTCAGGGCCTAGGGGGGAGCGGCCTGCAGCCTGGGCAGTCCTAGGTCCCTGGGCAAGTCCCCCAAGGAACCGCCAAGATTCTCGTGGAAGCCCCTGGGCCGGCTAAGGAGGGAAGGGAGATGGGTGCCTGAAGAGAAAGGAGCAGCTCACCAAGGGGGGGGTCCCCAAGAGGCCGAGCCCCCTCAAAACTGCTCCTGGTGGGGAGGCTCGGGTGTGGACAGGTGGAAGGCCAAGAGGAACCCACCTGGGGGAGGGCGGGGGGGGGACAGCCGGACACACAGCAGCCGGGCAGGCGGCAGAGCAGGGACACGCACACACGCGGCTCACCACCAGCATCCCCTTTAATAAAATGTGGAAGGTTGCGTGACGGGGAGGGGGGTGAAATATGACCATTTACAACCACAAAAAACCTCTGTACATGTCTAGCGCCTGGCAGAGGGGAGGGCAGCGGGGCAGCGGCGGGCGGGGCCAGCCCTATTTGTAGAGGATGTCGTAGTGTCCGGGCCGGTACAGGAGGTACACCTTGGGCTCGGAGCCCTCGGGAAAGATGTGCGGGTTGGTGGTGCCGCCCTCGCCGCGGTCCATGTACTCCACCTGGATGGAGACGCTCAGGGCCTGCGCCAGCGCGATGATGTGGATGTGGTCGCTCTCCTTGCACATGGGCTCCACCTCCTGCGGCACAGGCGGGGGGCGGGGGGTGAGGGCCCGGGGGTCAGCGCTCCCCCCACCCCGAGGCGAGAGAGAAAGGGGGGCAGCACCTGCTGACAGAACTCCTTGACTGTCCGCCCCCCCTCGATGAAGTGCTCGAAGAACTTGCTCTCCCGCTGCAGGTAGCCTGACGTGAGCAGCCGCAGGTACACCACCAGGTAGTCCGAGGTGCTCTGGTCGTTGAAGGAGGCCAGCAGGTCGGCTACGGAGGTCTGCTTCTCCACCTGCTCGATCAGGTCCATGAACTGCCACCCACAGGGCACAGAGGGCACAGCGAAGGAGGAGACGGGTTAGCCCTGCCGCCGCCAGGCCACCCCACCTCCACCCC